CTACTGCTCGCTGCTCATTTCTCCAGATAGCGGTAAATTAGTCAGTTACAAGAAATCAAATTCAATACCGGAAAAAAATAACCAAAAAAGTGAAATGTATCTTTAAAGAAAATTATAAAACAATAAATTTATTTTTTTATTTATTTTTTTTTTTTTGCTGGTTAATTTGTTAACAATTAAAATGTAAAAAAAAAAAAAATATTTGCTTTTATTTACAAAAAAAAAAAAAAAACAAAAATAAAAAAACATTATTAAAAAAACATTTATAACATGTACATATATAAAATTTGAATAAATTTTGAATAAATTTCTCCCCCATAATAAAGCTTAAGATTTCATGCATTGATTGAAAGCCAAACCGATCCTTCTTACAAATCCTTTTAACATTTCCGTGGGCCCAGCCCATATGCAATGTGTGTCAATGTGTTGCAAGGTGCTTCATAACTGCTTTGCTGTTAAGGAATGAAGTAACTCATGTCTGGGTTGATGATGTTTGTGTTGCTGTTGTTTTTATTCTTGTTATTCTTGTTCTTGATGATGATGTGACTGTGTGTTTAACTGTTAATGTGCTGATTAATAATATGACATATGAATGATTGTGATTTTCTTGTGAGTGAATGAATGAATGACTGAGTGAGTGAGTGAGTGAGTGAATGAGTATTTTTATGTTTGTGCACAAGCGTCTCCCATATAGAAAAAAAAATAAATAAAGAAAATTTCATAGATTAGCAATAAAAATTAACTTAAAGCATAAGCTTAAGAATTTGAATTATCTTCGAATTCACAAAAATGTTTTAACGCAAACCAGTTTCTACGAAAGAAAGAGTTCGCAAAAAGCGCGCATACACTGATTCAAGCGTTCTATGAAAGCCTACAAATGATACGCAACCATAAGCTACTACTAAAGCAATAATTTTCTATTACGGAAATTAACTAAATTATATAAAACAGTCGAATCAGTATATATAGCTCAAGCTACAGCTACCATTATTAAACAATTGTTGTGCAATTGTATCCAAAACCTTAACCAACTTAATGTAAGCACAACAAGGCGCACATATTTATTGCAAAATATTTAAATTTTAAATATATTTACTTTTCAAATAAATCCATAAACTCAAACAATCAAACAACAAAATAAATACAAATAAATGCACAAAGGCATGTATGCAGTAGTAGTAGTCTCTCGATTAGCTCTTCGGATCTCTTCAGTGAAAAGCATTTCGATATTTCTGCTATCAACTGGCTATTGATTACAATTAAGAAACATAACCAAATTTTGGGTAAACTTTGTTCATCGTACTATTAGTTGCACAAATATTTCACTTTTTGATCCATACAAGTCTTCGTGTAAGTGCTTTCCGTTATCGTCTTTATATAGAAGGCGCATAACTATGCGTATATAGTCGTTGAACCGTTTCGAACCATTTTCAATATCAAACATCTGCGTGCAAGGAACTTAAAAATAATTGCAATCAGACGAGACAGACGGACATCGGTTCGGGGTTCTTTGAAGCTGTTTCTTGACTGTTAAAAAACATTTTGCATGACAAAATGAATACAATCACCATCCTTCGGCGGCGAGCACAAAAAAAACATCGCTTTTTCTCTCATTAGTCATCGAGTGCAACAGGCACAGTAACAAATATATATATGCATATGGTATGTGTGATCAGATAAAACTCTTAAAAATCATCCACACCTGCCAGCAGCGTATCGATATTAGTTTTCCCCTTTTTTTATGTACGGTTTTAAATTAAAGTTGTGTTGAAACCCACAATAGCGTACTCTGTCTATCTTATTTGCGCAGCCACCGTGTAAATGAGCTGACATAAGTCAGCAAAAGCTCAGGATAGGAGTCTTGTCTGACACAAAACATTTTTGGCATAAGGTGATTTTTCTTAAAGTTATTAATAGGCTGTGGATGCTTTGGTTTTTTTTTTTTTCTTTTTTTGGCAAGAGCACGAAAGCTAACGAACGGTAACTGCAGCCGCATTTTATAAACTTTACCAAATCACATTTGTGTGGTGGTCGCCGCAAGCAGTACCCGCACAACGTTTGTAAAAAGACCAGCTTAGGTCCAGTTAAAAATGTATTTCATAAGACCATGAACGCTTAGGCCATTCCCCTGCACTTATGAAATTTCGTAACTTTCCCCAAATCTTGTTGGACAAGTAATAAATTGTATCTCATCGTCTTGGTTACGTAAATCCGTAAAGTTAGAAATTCAACTCTTTTTAGAGCTTTCTAATTTTTCTCTTTCTTTTATTTAGGTTTTTTACTCTACACTAATTTTTATAGTATCTTTTCACCAGAATGTAGTTAGCAACATCGGATCAGATCGAATAACAGCCATGCTTTAACTATACTAAGATTTAACTAAAGACCCGTTAAATTAAATAAATAAATAAATAAATGATAGTAGAAGAGTCTAATTAACCTAAAATCATAAAACTCACTACTGAAAGAGTCGCTTGCTTACATCTTAACAAGGCTTTTAAGAATAAGTCAAAATGTAGGTTTAAATTTAACTAAATGTTAAAAATTTCTTTGAAACGTATTTTAGTTAAAGTTAAAGCTAAATTTTCAAACACTTTCTTAAAAAAAAAAAAAAAAAAAAGGGGATTGCACTAATAGTTTTTACTTAAAAGTTAAGAAAGCGTTAAAATTAGTAAAAGCATGACATGGCTGCTACGCCATGCCTTTGTATTTTATATTAAAACAAATTTTTTTGAGCGAGCGAGTTTGACCGAAAAATTTGATGAAATCTTCATCTCCCTGGGGAGATGAACTATGCTTTGATGAGAAGCATAGATGTGCCGAAACTCTCACCTCCCAGCGGTGATCCCCGGGCAACGGCTTCGGCCGGCTAAGAAGAGTTTAAGGTTTTGGGCTGCTAACTCGGCGACGAGTTTCTGAGAGATGGTGGAGGGGTTGGCTGGAAGAAGAGCTCTTACTCAATAAGCTAGTTACTACCGAGGAAATATATTGAATGGTATTTAAGTACAATGAAGGTAGTAATCTAGCGAGTGCATGGTAGAGTGCATTAGACTAGTCTACCATGTTCAGTGCAATACCCGAGACCTATATATCTTGAAGAAAAGTAGTTCACTTGGTGCTAGCAACCAGGAAAATATGGAGGATCCGAAGCAAGTACGGTTGTTTTTAACAACCGCCCAAAGTATGCCATAAGGCTTTGCAAAATAAACTGGGAGCCACGGGGGTCAGGAAGCTCGCCTCACAAAGCCACGTATGCCTGCGGGTATATGATGGACTTTGTCCTTAAGTCGTAATAAATAAATAAATTAATTATACTATTAATGCAAAAAGGAATTGACGGACGGCCTTCCCTTTGGCCGATTGATAGAAAATGTCTGGTAAATTAATTAACACATGCAAAAATGGAAAAGGGATATGACGAATAAGTTTTCCCCTTTTACCTATTTTTACTTTTGAACACATGTCACGGATGCCTGCGGGTAATGGTGGTAATTGATCAACAGCGCAGTGGAAGCCTTATGGCGGAAGCAGTCAGTTGATCAACTTGTGAGTCCTGACTGCTTGGGTGCGGCCCCCCTAGCTAAAATGGAACAATTGAGTGCAGCTAGGCCTCGCCATTCACCAGAGTGGGGTTTATTGTTCCATACACAATAAACTGTTCTGGACTCTGGTGCTGTTTAGGCCCCTACTCTGTGGGGATTGTCTAACTCGCCAGGGGGCGTAGTACGCTTAAAAGTGGCTTGGGCCACCGTGGGGTTAAGCCTTTCAGGCAGGAACCCACGTTAAACCCTTGCCACAAATTCTCCCTCTATTCGAAATCAGTCCTTGAATGAGCTATGAAGCAAAACTCACTTTAGATGTCTAGCTGTAGAGGCTTCAAAAAAGATAAATTTTTTATTTCTTATTTTTTTTTTTTTTTTTTTTAAAATCATACTATAAAGAACAGAAAACTGAGACATTCAGGTCCGAGTTATGCTCATTCCACCACTTAGGAACATTTATTAGCCGTAGCAGTTAATCTCGACGCTCCAATTAGTCGTTTCATATGAAGGTAAGTAGGACACTAATAGCGAGATTAGAGTTAAAAAAAAAAATATATCGCATTTCCGAAAAGCATACGAATTTTCTTGAAAGTCTTGAAAGCTGAAACTAACTGAAGTATTACTGCATTACTACTTTGCGGTTAAGGTTAAACGTTTATTTTCTCGAAATGCATAGGAATCTCTTCCAAAGAAAAAGACTCGTATTTACGAGAAAAATAACAGTAAAAAGCAATTTGAGCACAAAATTTCTCGTAGCGAAGAATTTCTGATAAATTAGCAAAAAATAAATAAATAAATAAGAAATTTTCTGCTAAATTAGCAGAAATTGTCAGAGTCAACAACGACTTCATTAGCCATAAATGAAGTATTCTAAGGCTACCTTAAGTGTGGTGCTATGTAACCAAGCCATTGTTGTTAGATAGATGAGAAGAAGCAATTTTTAAAAGTTATTTTAAAAGTGAATTTCTCACTCATGTTAAATTTTAAATTAAAAGTTACTTCTATTCTTTGTTAAAATTGTTTAACTTTTTTTTTAAGAAATGTTCGCATCAGAAGTCTTAAAGAGAATGAAAGGAAAAGACAGAAGATTTTGTTTTTAATAGAAACATTTACAATATTTTTATATTTCATAAAGAGAATTTTTTTTTTTTGGTTTTTTAAATTTCGCTTTTATTTAAATTAAATAAATAAATACATAGGCACTAAAGATGTATTTTACTAAATTAAACCTAATGATATTTGGTCTATTGCTGAAATAAATTACTTAACAAGAAATACATGAAATACACTAATATTTAAAATACTGACGAATTATCAACAATTATAGACTCATATATATATATATACTGTTACGCATTATCTACACGCAAAACAAATGTCTCTTCAATACTTTAAACACTTAATTAAATAAGTTTGGTTCTCGACGCAGTAAAAAATTGCGCGCGCGGCTTATATACACAAAAGGGGAAAAGAAAGAAAGAGTAAGAGAGAGAGAGAGAGAGAGAAAGACGGGGGATAGATAGAAATTATAATTGCCATCTATTGCCGAAACTATAAGGCGAATAGCGGTAACTGGGGCTACCGAATGAAGCACCACTGCCAGAGTGAGCTGCAGCCGCCGCAGCGGCTGCTGCATGACTCACCCCGAAAGGAGTGCTATGATGGAACATGTCAAACGCCGTACCGAAGGCAGCGCGTGGTGGAGTTTGATAGAACATAGCAGCAGCAGCCGCAGCGGCTTGTTGTTGTTGCTGTTGCTGTTGCTGCTGCTGCTGCTGCTGCTGACTGTGTTGGGCGGAAGAGGAAGACGGCGACGGATATGACGGATTAGCCATAACAGTGGGTGTGTTACATGACATTGAAGTAACCGCATGATTACTAGATTGAAGAGGAGAATTACTACCGTTAAGTGTTTGAGAATTCACGGAATTACCTAAGCCACTACTATTATTGGTTAGATTATTATTTGCACTATTATTTGCACTGTTGTATAAAGCGGTAAGTAAGTCATCTTGATTTACATTTTTCGTATGTGAAGGAGCACAAGTACTAAAAGCACTCGTAGCTGAATGCACGATACCACCGGCTGTGCTGGTATTAGCAGAAGTTCGCGAAGACGAGGCGGCGGAGGTACCCGTAGAAATTGTGCTAACAGCACTAGAAGAATTAAAGTGATCTTTTCTGCTGTTGCTGTGACCAGAACAAATTTGTGCTACCGTCTCTACGCCAGCCACAGTTTTCATAAAGGTGGCCAAATGCAAAGCAGCAGCAGAAAATTGTTGCTGTTGCTGCTCTGCTTCCAAACGATTAAATTCATCTAAATGTTCCTTAACCAACAACATAATATCGTCGCTGCCTTCGCTAGAACGTTCAGAACTATCCGATGAATTGTGACTAGCATTAGTATTAGTAGTAGTAGTAGTAGTAGTAGTAGTACCAGTAGTAGTAGTGGCATTGTTACCACTTCCACTTAGAGTAGATACTTTTAGAGAGATTTTTGTTAGTAGTGCTGGCACGTCCTTAAAAAGGATATCCAGCAACTTACCGGTAGTGAATAGCACTATAGCTTTCAAACACGAATACTCGGCCGAATCGACATGCAAAGCTTTCAGTTTCTCCACTTGCTCTTGAAAGATACGTATGTGATCCATGAAGGCCACTACCCGATCTGCCGCCATAGGTGAAGCATGCAGACCGGCTGCTGCTAGCAAAGGCGCCACATGCAGCGGCATTGAACATTGGCTGGCATTTAAAACGAACAACTCGGACCAAACTAGCCTTAACAGGGCTACTTGATCTGTTACTTGCAGTTCGGGAAAGAAAGGTATATTTTTGGCCCATTCAACGGCGGAGAACAATAAACGAGCCGCCAATTCGCAGATATTGTCAATGCCCATAATATTATTTGGTTGCATGCACTGACCGTAACGGGAGGTGGGATATGGCTCGGCACGCAACAGCAACGAAATATAGGAACTCAGGTAAGAATGACCATTGAAGCCGGCCACACCCATAGGATCACCATTGGCTAATTGATATTGGCCATGCATACCCGCTAGGCCGGGTTGTGTGGGCGGCACGCGACCACGCTGAACAGCTGCAAAGAAAAAAAAATGAAATAAATAAAACCATTTAGTAAAAGTAGAGAAATTTAAAAAAAAAAAAAAAAAAAAGAAAAGAATCGCTATACAAATAAATTCTAAGATGCTAAGCAAATGTCGCCTAAGTTGCTATCCAATATTAGCATAAGAGAAAAATAGTTCAAAAAAGTCTCTTTTCAACATTTATTTTTATCTCGAACTATCACGCTCTCTTTCTCTTCTTCGTATGCATTCGTTGGATTTTCACGACAAATTTTCGTATTCCGTTTTCGATTAGTTACAAAAAAGATTTAAATATTTTGAAACTGAGGAATTTTTTCCTTCAGAGAAAGACACAATAAACACAAAAGCGATTATTTTGACCACTACATCACACGCAATGCTTCAACAATAGTAACTTGTCTGTCAATCTGTGCTGGTTTGTTGTCTGTCTGCCTATGCAGCGAATATATTCTATGTCACTGCGCTTTACCAAGCCCATGTGTCTTCATGTACGTTTCCTTATGCTTTAAGAAATTTGCTTTTCAAATAATGCCACATCAGACAATAAAAGTTGAAATGAAATCAGACAACCTCAATCTCTTTAAGCAGAACATTACACAACACAACACAACACAACACACAGCACAACGAAAAAAAATGATTTTATTGTTATGAAAATCTTTAGCGTAAACAACCCTCAGACTAACGATAAGCTGAAAACTGAAATAGAAGTACGAGAGCACAAGAGGAGAACAATGAACGCACAACACTTCCTGATAATCGAGCATAAGCGCGTAAGTAGATACTTTATCTACGTTTACTCCATATAGACGGAGACAGTTGAAATCGTCGTCACCATTAGTTAGAGCAACGAAAGGTCTCTATCTATACGGGCGCAACCCTTTTGCTTTTTTTTTTTTTTTTTTTTTTTTTTTTTCGTAAAACGCGTCATAAAGTTTACAATATATGAACGCGTGAATACAGACGTATTCTGTTATTCTTTTGTCACTGCTTAACAAAATTACAGTGTGTGCCTATGTGTGTAGTAATATTTCAACACATTGAAAACTGAATGCAGTTTTTTTTTTTTTAAACATTTGTTTGTCATTTTATATAAATTGACGATAACGAAAATTTACTTTTCATTAAAAATTTCCATTCATTAATATTTAAAATATACATAGATGTGTGTATGTGCGCATATAAGGTCTCAAAAATGAAGGAGAAATGTCAGAGAATAACTTTTTAAGAAGCAATACATTATTGCACTACAACGCAGTATACAGTGGCAGTAGCACCAATACTTTAATTAGTCACAGGAAAGTCAATACTAATGACGTAAGCAGTGTTTTAAGGGCATTACGTCGCCTATCTCGAGCCAGAACTTGAATATTCGCCATCTATCGGCAACACTTCAATCCAATATCAATTCGATCTTAGACTATTAGGATCGAAATAAAGTACAATTTTTGATTTCCCAGTTGTCCTTTTAATATCCTGAGAGGAATGGTTTCTCCAAACTGCCGTTTGTATTATACGATTGATGACATTCTTGGCTTTAGTCCCAAAAATGCTGGCTAAGGATGAGCCTGAAAAACACGACTTGGAGGACATATGTTTCGAGGCTTACCCTTTTGACATGGGCAAAGGAATTACGGCTGATTCAACTTTTCCGGCGTAACTTAAGACAGGCGGCACGTCAGATGACATTAAAAGCTTCTTAACATCTTTGTTCATTTTGAAAGAAGCTCACTGAATATACTTTCCAGTGAAAGAGAGATTGATCATATTTTCCTTTTTTCCTTGTGACCAATCAATCAGAGGATGTTCCCTATTCGTGTAGCACGACAATGAAGATGGGAAGACAGCGACAGCTCAGTGGGTTTGTGAGTGTGAGCACCCAATATAGCTATAGCGCAATGTAATCTCTAGCAGGCTTGAAAAGGTCGCAGAAAAAGTTTTCCTTACAGATACTAATTCCGCAGGTGCCTTACGTTACTAACAGAAGACTTTTACTAATCCTATCCGCCTGAAAGATTCATTTTAAACCGTTTAAAGAACAACTCAGGCATTCAAAGCATTTTATTAGAAGAACTATCCGGACGTTATTATCGGTTATGCTTTACATAAACAAAATTAATTTCCAGATAATATTAGCTAGGGATTTAAACCGCACTTTCCTAAAGCCTGACATGATAATGTATGAGAACGAAGTGGAGAACTTACGTAGCATAATTGCTGAAGTAAATACTACCACTACTTGTAAATTTCATCAAAAGATCATTTCGTCAATATGGATGATGGAAATTTTTAACGAATTTTTGCTTAAAAGCTGATAGCATTCGTTGTTATCATTGACTAACGTTTTATCAAAAACTGACTCAAAACACTTCCATAGAATATGTACTCATACACATGTATTACTGAGCTTGTGCATGGCTTTGCAGATTTAGTTTTGAAATTTTGTAGTTGTCTCCTCGATTTTGGGAGGAAGTAGAATTCGTATTACCGTTCTGAGGGCATTTCACTTGCTGCACGACATTTTCTCTTTTTAAAGCGCTCTTCACTTAAATAAGTTAAGCCTTAGAAGGCTCTTACAGCACACGTGTTTAAGCACTTTTCGTTTAACACTTTGCTTAATTAATATGAAAAGGAAAGAGAGTAGAAGACTAAAACACTCGACTAAAAATATTTAAACTTAAGGTTAAGTTCACTTCCTCGAGGCTAAGATTTTTCGATTAGAGCACGTGTTGGTTAACTCTTCAACTTTCCCGATAAGGGTTAATAATGAAATTCCTTTTCGGTGGTTGATGAACGCATGATCTGCTTTGTAATTATGTTTTTGTTTTGTTTTGTTTCTTCTTTCTCTACTCATTTCGATTAGTATTTGGAAAACCACAAGCAGCTAAAGATCATAACATAAAGTGAAATGACCACAGCATCAACACTTAATACGCTACACTAACAATAGGGTATTAGGATAATTTTTTAATAAACGCACATAAACGCAACGGTTGTTGCTAAAATATTTCCTGGGAATTTTTTCTTTTCGTGAAAAAAGTAGTGGTCAGTTTATCCCGTACGGAACAACAAACTGGACATTATTTCCTTTATACCGGTTTTTGTGTTTTTTCTTTTTCGAATAATTTTATTAAATATGTTTGAACACTGACCCTTCGGACAGTTATTTATGGAGCACTAGAAGTAAAAAAAAAAAAAAAAAAAACTGGAAAAAAAAGGTTTAGGGTTTTTTTTTCGAGGATTTTGACTATTGTGTGAAATGTTGTCCAGACAAGGTCATGTGGAAAATTTATTTTAATTGCTATAAATAATGAGGGTTAATGGCAAAATTTCCAAAAAATATTAAACTGCCCGGCAACGTGAAGAAGTGACGGCCAATGATGACCGCTGCATACCTTTCGACAAATTTTAGATAAATAAAAATCTTCAAGTTTTTTATAAGGTTGTCACATAAAGGTAGACCGTAGACGGTAGGTTTTATATTTAAGAGCAATGGTTGCGTTGTTTTTTCTTCTGCTCCTTTTTACTTATTTCTTGAATTGGTTTTATTTTAGGCTTTCTTTCCTTTCCCTTAAACATATATCCGTCGTTATCGTTTTCGTTGTTGTTGTTGTTGTTGTTATATTAAACTGTAAACTTAAGAATTCCAGGTGTGTTCGTTAAGAGTTTTAATGCCTGCGTTCTCTTGTATACATAATATGCGTTTAATATCACTTCAATTGATTGTTACGTTCGTTGTTGCGATACTCCTGCTCCTAAAGCTTTTTACAATGGTAACACTTGCGAAATATGCATCAGAGAAAATGTAAAAACAATGCTTTAATCTGTTCGATTTTCAGAAATAATACCCTACAATCCAATAACGACGATTTCATTGACATATTCCTTTAACTATGATCGGGAATTGCCTTCGTTCCCTCCCAAATTAATGTCAGAGCTCTTGATTAGGTAAGCAACAGCTTGTAAGTAAGGCTGAAAGTTGGAAGGTCTACAAAAAAAGTCTAGCCTCAGATGGATTACTTTCATTTCCGATATGAAGATGCATGAAAGCGATATTTGTTAGCAAACTCAATTCCTTTTTCGTTTATTGATCCGTACCGCGGCGTTTAATTCTTTTTTCGAGGAAAAACAAACTCTGTAAGAGTAGTGGAAAACAACTGGACGAACGAGCATGTGCATGGCTCGCACAGTCAATTCAGTTCAAAGTCCACGCCCAGCTTCAGGAAAGAAAAGTTCTATGATGTATTTATTATCAAGTGAGTTAAACGTGCTCCCATTACTGCTGTGTATACATAAATATCCGCACAATCTTTATTATAATCGCTAGTTAGTTACTAGCGTTTACCTAAAATTTCATTTATTTTCTAATGATCTAAAACAAAGGCAACATAAGAACATAAGAATATCGGACAAAGACTTGTGATAAATCAGGTTCGAGCGATTGGAACTCCTTGTACATCAAATGCTGATAAGTGTTTATACAAAAGTCCAGATCAATGTCTCCTCAAACTGATGACTAACTCAATTCCGTTTTTTTTTTTTTTGGTTTATGCAATCTCACGGAACCTTTCTAATGTCTAAGAATCTTTATTCCCGAAGACAGACATCGGGGTGTTACATTCGAAATGATCAAACTAGTAGACCCCTTAGGCCTTGGGTAACTAAAAACTGCTAAACAATTGTAAAAGTTTTTCTGTTTTATTTTCTTAACTGCTTTAAATATTTCTTCAATGTTTGTGTGTGTCTGTTTGTTTGCATTTTTTTTTTT